TTCAGCTTTGTACACTGTTATACAGCATTTATTCAATGTGTATGCTTATTTGTGACTTTGAATTGTTAGTTGGGTAACAACATCAAAAACAAGCAGTTCTCATGGGGTTCAGTACTGGAGGCAGCGCACAACCTTCAAAGCAAATACAAATAAAAGCTAAGGAATCACATTATAGAACTTCCAAATGTGGTGATTGATTGATATTCCAGTCCATTCGAAGGGAACGAGCAACATGAATCTTCCATCCACCACACTTTTAGCTTGGACTCATTATAACAAATTTCCACCATCCATAGATGACGTAAGTTTCCAAATCGTGGCCACCAGCCACCACAGGATTTTTTCGGCTTTTTCTTACAACAACGATCCCCCTCTAAAAAAGCGTCGGACTGTGTTGTTGTTTACGGTATTTCGCAGAAAAATTTGCATATCAATATGCCGCTAAGCCCATAGGTTGCTTGGAATAAACAGCCTTGCAAATAACTCTGGTCGGCCGCTAGTTGGTGCTCTTTGGGGAGGATTTAACTCGCATAACATGGTATCAGGTTTTTGGCAGAAGTCAATGGCCTGGAATTTAGACGACGAGAGGTTTTTTGCATCGTTCGGTTATAAATACGACGAACATTGCTGCATGCACTTTGGCAGAGTGAAATCCAGATATAAGCAAGTCGCCGTAATATATAGTAAATTACAAATTTATTCCACAATAAATTCCAATGATTGTGGAAATAACTTCTGCATACTGTTTTTATTAGCTGCAGAATATTCTGGACGTTGCCATCTTCGAAGAAGAAGAATAACAGCAAACATGATGACCCTATACGAACGCTGCGGGGGGACCTCGTGCCTTTTATCAAACAGATACTTTTGTTTTTTCCTCCAACGATAAAGTCCTCAGTCATGTAAGTTGATTATCGATTGATGAAGCTTATAAAACTTTAAGAAGGATATTAATAACAACCTTAGCCAATTTTGAATTGGCACGCAGCAAATAATTTTGTTCGCTACTTCACAACAAGTTATCGTACTGTTTCTTTTTTGCATTTGCCATTTGATGATAATGAGGGAGAACGCAATTTATCGACCTTTGATCCAACGAGCCTCCGTACGTGCCCCGGGCAGATACGTGCAAAAACACAAAGTGGGGTTTTTGCTCCCGAAACCTTAGATTAGATTTCATCTCTACTACGATTGACATCCAATCATCCACGATTACACCGAACATTTTGCAGGTTGATTTAATTAAGACTAAAACTTCCAGAGAGCTGTCAGATGAATAGGCAAATTTTCGACTATCGTTCTCATGATGGTGTAGCTATGGTTGAGAATCAAAGTGACGTTTAAATATGTACACCCAACCGGGAAATGTACACAAATTTGCATGAAAAGTATACAGAATTTGCAAGGTTTGATCGCATGAACAGATTCTGTAATGCATTGCATCTAGAAAACCATCTCGTGAAGGTTTTATACGAAAAAAATGCATTCTGGAAAAATATACACTGCATGTGGTGCATGAAGCATATGCAGATGATGCAATAAAGAGATTTTATTTTGCGTGTACTCAGCGCCGTCTCCATTGGTAAGGTCTATTTTTTTATTACGGGCTCCCTATGATTTGATATATTTTTTTCAAATTCTAGCACACTTGAAATAAAAATAGGTAGGGTAACTTGCCCTATTATGCAGGAACTAAGCACAGAGTTTGGATCTCAAAGGTGTTTTTGAAGCTCAGAGTAGTGAATTTGAGTGGAAACTCATAGTGAGTGACTAAAATGATTCAATATCTAACGAATAATGACGAAATAAACCGCATCTTGCACATATATACACTTATTTTTAAATAAATCCAATGCCACCACTGAGCCCTATTGTTGCGGTATTTTTTACTATTATTGCGGTAGTGCTGTCCTATTGTTGCGATATGGGAATGAAGCACATTTTTTGAATTCAATAAAATTTAAAAAAAAGTAGAAGGGTCTGTGCTTGACGTAGCTTGACGTAGGACCGCTAGTGGACGGAATAAATGTAAAGATCATTTTGTTATTTAATTGATCAATTATCTATTATCTCAACTCTTTCAGTTTTTGAATTGTAGGCAAGGTTGCAAAGACTCGGCGTACCAAATTTGTAGTATTTTTTTTTTTTTTTTCAAAGAGAAAATTGATTAAGATATTGATTGATTATCACTTGCACCCCTGCTTCCAAGTTTGGTTACAAGATTACAACTCTGGAGAGCATTTTGTGTGGTCGTTGGGGGCTTGTGGTTATGAATATGGACAACCAAGCACAGATAAATTCTATTCCAACTCTTTGCTAATGTCTCGGAGTAGTACCAATAGACTGAGTGAATCCAATCTTTACTTTTCTCAAATTCGGAAATTTTTCCCTGGAAAATCCTGGAAAAACATGAGGCAAATTTACTCATCGCTGAGTTCCTGCACTTTATTTCTTATTTCTGAGAAAACTGAACTCAAATTTGGGTTGATCTCATCCGCCGTGATATCGCATTGAAAGATATCGGCGCCGGTGGTTAGCATGATTACCTCTCACCCCAGCAGGCCTGGGTCCAATCTCAGTCAGCACCACCGGCATATTCTAAGGCATAACATCTCTAATCACGCCTTCCTTCGGGAAGTAAAGCCGTTGAGTAGATGGGTCGATTGGTAGGGTCCAGGTGTGGGAGCTGCCTCCCTGGCGTCGGTAGCATTGGAGCTAAGTACGGAAAACAAATCTCGCGTCACTTTTCAATAGGTTCTATCTACATTGATCGATTCTCTTCATCGACACTCTCTTTCGTAAATAACCCGGCTTCAGCAAATTTTTTCGGGATCAAGCGGAATGACATCCGAAGCCGGCTGCTGGAGAAGCGGGAGCTAACCCTGAAGGAGGCCCGCGATATTGCCGTGAGCATGGAGCTTTCTCGTAAGGGAGGAGCAGAGATCGAAGGCTGCTCGACCAGACAGGAGGTACATGCTGTGCACCACCCAACAGGTAAAAAAGATAAAAAGAAGCCGAGTGCAAATAAAAGTGCGGGTAAAAGTGCAAGCGATGGAAGTTGCTATCGCTGCGGGGACAGATCGCACTTCGCGAATGCGTGCAAACATAAGCAAACAGTGTGCTCGTATTGCAAATTGACGGGGCACCTCGCGAAGGTTTGTATGAAGAAATCCGCCGCCGCGAAATCTGACTCTCGATCGACGAACAAACCACATTTGGTCCAGACAAATTACGTGGACCAATCCGGTGATCGTCAAACCGTCGGGAGTGCGGTAGTGCGTGAAGTTTGTACGGTCGAATCGACGTCGCGTTGCAAGAAACTCGTGCTGGACGTGTCCGTGAACGGAAAGTACATTCGATTTGAAGTAGATACTGGTTCGCCGGTCAGTATCATCAGTGCGGAATGCCGGAACCGACTGTTTCCAACTACGCGGTTGCGTGAGTGTGATACGAACTTGGTTAGCTATTGCAATACCAGCATCGACGTGCTAGGTATACTTGACGCGCGTGTGGAATTCGCGGGAAAAACAATAACGATGCCGTTGTACGTTGTGAATTCCGGGAAGAACCCGTTGTTAGGCCGTGAGTGGCTGTAGGAGATGCCGGTGGACTGGAACAACATGCTCAAGGGGTCGAGTGTTGTGAATACGATTGCTGCTACTATTTCCCCGCGTCGTGATGCTGCATTGGAGGAGGTTCTTGGGAAATATCCGAAGGTTTTCGAGGACTCGATCGGAAAGATTTCCCACGTTCAAGCTAACCTACCATTGAAGAACGGTGCTCGGCCGGTGTTTCTTAAGGCACGGAAGATGCCTTTCAACATGCTGAAAGCGGTTGAGGACGAATTGGAGAAACTGGTTGCAGAGGGTGTGCTCACGAAAGTTAACTCCAGTAACTGGGCAACACCGATTGTGCCTGTGAAGAAGTCACAGAACCTGGTGAGGATTTGCGGAGACTACAAGCAGACCGTGAACCCGAACCTCGTGGTGGACAAGCATCCACTGCCTACTGTGGACGAGCTGTTTGCTTCACTAGCGGGAGGAATGAAGTTCAGCAAGATTGATCTCGTCCAAGCGTACCTGCAACTGGAAGTGGCTCCAGAAGATCGTGAAATACTCACACTTAGTACTCACCGGGGTTTTTACCGCCCGAATCGGCTGATGCACGGTGTCGCATCGGCACCAGCTATCTGGCAGCGGCAGATGGAGGCCCTACTGCAAGGCATTGATGGAGTAAGCGTTTTCCTGGATGACATCAAGATCACGGGTGAAAATGATGAAGTTCATTTGCGTCGGCTGGAGGAGGTACTTCGGCGACTGAATGAATGCGGAATTCGGGTGAACAAGGATAAGTGCGAGTTCTTTGTGGACAAGATTGAGTACTGCGGTTACTCGATCAATAAGGAAGGGATCCATAAGATCCGAAAAAAGGTGCAAGCAATCCAGGAAATGCCAAGGCCGAAGAACAAGGACGAAATTCGGTCATTCGTCGGATTTGTCCTGTATCCGCTTAACAACCTACTGAAGAACGATGTTCCATTCAGATGGACCAACCAATGCGAAGATTCTTTCAAGAAAGTGAAGAAACAGATGCAGTCCGACAACTGCCTTGTCCACTATTCTCCAGAACTTCCACTGCTGCTTGCTACGGACGCTTCACCCTACGGAGTAGGAGCTGTGCTGAGTCACGTGTACCCAGATGGCACGGAACGTCCAATCCAGTTCGCGTCCCAGACCCTGAACCGTGTGCAGCAGAATTATATGCAGGTGGACAAAGAGGCGTACGCCATAATATTCGGCGTGAAGGAGTTTTTCCAATACTTGTACGGACGGAAGTTCAGCTTGCTTACCGACAATCAGGCAATCTCGAAGATCTTCGGAGAGCACAAAGGGTTGCCGGTCATGTCTGCATTGAGGATACAACACTACGCTACGTATTTGCAGAGTTTCGATTACTAGATCCGGTTCCGGAAGTCTACGGATCATGCGAATGCTGATGCCATGTCGAGGATTCCGTTAGGAGTAGCTGATCCCCAGAATGAGATTGAGGAGTCGGATGCTGTGGAATTGAGTCAAATCGATACTCTACCCTTGACTGCTGCCGAGTTAGTTCAAGCTACGGCGGGGGATCAGACGGTGCAAAAACTGATACAAGGCATCAAGCACGGCCAGCTGGTGGAAGCGAAGGATCGTTTCGGAATCGAACAGAACGAATTCTCTTTACAAAAAGGATGCTTGCTTCGAGGAATTCGAGTGTACGTGCCTACAGTTCTCCGGAAACGTGTGCTGGATGAATTACATTCTACTCACTTCGGTACAACCCGTACGAAGTCGCTGGCAAGAGGCTATTGCTGGTGGCCTGGTTTGGATCGGGAGATCGAAGAATTGATTGCGAACTGCGCTGACTGCCAGTCAGTACGTGCGGAACCTACGAAGATGAACCTTTATTGCTGGGAATCACCAAGTGAACCGTTTCAAAGGGTCCATGTTGACTTTGCAGGTCCTTTCATGGATACCTACTTCTTCATCTACGTGGATGCGTTCAGTAAGTGGCCGGAGATCAAAGAGTGCAGATCCATTACGGCCGAATGCACCGTAAACATGTGTCGCAAGATCTTCAGTACGTTTGGCATGCCGTCAGTCCTGGTGAGCGACCATGGCGTCCAGTTTAGGAAGTTTTCCAGCGATTCCTGAAGATGAACGGTGTAGTTCACAAAATGGGAGCGCCGTATCATCCGGCAACGAATGGACAAGCGGAGCGGTACGTCCAGACGTTCAAGCAGAAATTGAAGGCGCTGAAGTGTTCCAAGTCTCAGCTGAACCTGGAACTGTCCAACATTCTTCTTACCTACCGCAATATGATCCATCCGTCTACCGGGAAATCACCGTCAATGCTCGTATTCGGTCGACAGATTCGATCGAGGATCGACTTGCTGCTGCCGAAGAATGAAACTTCAAGCAAGGCTGACATTGCTGTGCGTCAGTTCTTGGATGGTGATCGAGTACGTGTTCGCGATTTCTTGTCGAGTAACAAATGGAAATTTGGCAAGATCGTCGAGAAGGTTGGAAAGCTTCGTTATACGGTGCGATTGGATGACGGACGAATCTGGGAGCGTCACATTGACCATATCGTCGGTGTGGGCGCTAATTTGCGGAGCGATTCGGTGGACCCTCCAAGGGAGGAGTACATTGAACTCGACGAACCTACAACTTCGGCTGCTGCGCCAGTGGCCCAAGCTACAGCGAATCCTGTCGAGGAAGCTACTGGTACTGCACCGGTGGTTCCTTGCGCTACACCTGCTGCTGCGACGATAATGTCTACTCCTGGATCCCAGGAGCGTTCTTCGACTGTCGTGGCCGGTCGGTCTGCTGTGTTGGATGCTGCTCCGACGACTCTACGACGATCCAGCCGGGTAATCGTACCTCCCCAGAGATTGAATTTGTAATTTCTTTTGTATAACTTACTATAACTTTCTTTTTAAGTGTTATATCGTTATATTAACCTTGATATGTATACACCTATTATAACATTACCTTGCTCGCGCACACCTTGTTTCGTACATTCCTTGTTTCCGCGCGAGCACGTTTCGAGCTGTCATTAAATTTCTCTCGCCATGACGACATGTGCCTTCTGCGCGAAGAAGTATTAATAAGGAAAAATAGAAGGTTTAAAAGTGTAAGCTGTTGTGGTTTTATTTCCTTCCTAATTTCGGCCGTCACAACAAATAGTTTCTTGTTATCGATGTGTAGCCATATTTCTGATCGATTGGTGATAAAATTATTGAAATTGGACCAGGGCAGCTGAGTTATTAACGTTAAAAATCTTTCTTAATTTGTTACATGTTCCATTTCCGGTTTTCACAAAGTGTACCCCCATATAGAAATCAAAGACGTAGACCTACGTCAAAAAAAAATCATGGAAACTGCAATCATGTTTTTTTAATTCGATCAGCATTATACGGTACCGCCAGATGTGGTGACATTGGACTACATATATTAAATCACGTGTCTTGTTAGGTATCAAAAAATATACTGTTGATCGAAAATTGTGTGGTAGCGTGGTAGGTATTATTGTTTGTGACAGTAAAATCAAATCGGTGTAGAACTCACAAAATCGAATTCGTTTTAGAGGTACATACGCAGTAAATAAGAATATGCTTGAAAACCTATAGAAACCCAAACAAAATATGAATGATTCTAATTTTCATTGATAAATACCCCAGAATTTTGTACCAACTAGTCTGACACTCCCTGGGTTTAAGTTTATATATTTCAAGAATCTGGGAGAGAAACCGGTTGCTTATTTTATTTTATTACTATTTTTATTTCAAAACATTTGCATTTTATCAGAAAGAGAAAAGTTATACAGAATTCATATTATTGCACTGGTTCGTCAAACGTTTTATTTTGCCGATCGTTTTTGCTTCCGGTTACCAATCCCGGCCTTACACAAATTTTCACGCTAAGTTTTTCTCAGCAATGCTTCTTAACGTTTTCGTTCCTTGGTGGCTTCTTTTAACTCTTCAGCTTCAAGTTTAGCTTTTGCGCGTTGATCGGCTTTTGCTTTCTTCTCAAGAATAGCATTTTGCTTTTCAGACTCAATTCGTTGAGGTTCATTCAGTCATTCTCCCGCTGTTAGGGCTGGATAAAACTGGCGTTTGTAATTTCGATGTGTCTTTGCACGCTTCGGAGTTGCGGGACACTGCAAAAAGGATGATATACTCGTCTTTCTCTTCAATGTCCATCTTTTATCTTCACTCTGAACAAGAGAATGATGAATAGTCTGGGCATGCTCAAATGACGGGTTGTGGATAGTTTCATTCAGCACATTGACAATGTTCTTCAAAACGTAACTCGATTTAGGATCAGTTAGGGACGTTAGCGTTGACGGAGTATTATCATACGATGCTCTTGCGTTAGACACATCAGGTGAATCGATTCCAAATGGCCCGTCGTTTTCAAATCGGTATCGGCCATCGGTAATGTATCTGAAAAATAATATCTCCATGGAAATAAGATGCTATAAATCTAAAAATACTACTTACCTATTGATAACTCGACAAGTTCAGTTTCTCTTTGTTCGTCGTTCAAGGCTACAGGATCACCGTCCAGGGTAAGTATTTCTATAGTCTGTGGAATTTGGTAATGAAATGGCTTGAGGAGTGTCTCATAAAGCGATCGTATGACTTGTTGATCCTCAGTCAGATCCGTCGTTGACATTATTCGATGTAAGTGAGCGGTTCCGATACTCTCCACAGCTTCGTTAATCGTAGTACACGCGATCAAGACTGATTTTTTCACATAAAGAGGTGAAATCAGCATAACTAGAGTATCTTCAATGATCTCAATCGAATTATTCGAAGTTGGAAAAATGGTGCCTAGCTGAGCTGGTGATGAATTTATCGGAACATTTTCACTCTCTGTAGCTATGTAGCTACAGACTGATGGTACAGACGAGGACGCTTTGGCTATGCATTTGCTAGAATCCACGTTTTCGACATTGAATGGGTACAAACCGCACACTCTGAAACCATTTATGATGCTCTCTTTCTTCATTCCACTGTTCATAGCATTCTGAAGGACAGGTCCGAGGTGCAGCAATGTTAGTGTTTCACCATCATTTTCACAACGCCAATCCGAAACCGCCTTTTTCCAAGCATACTTCAGTGGCTTAAATATCGCCACATTAGCTGGCTGCGTAATTCTGGTGGTATTAGGATAAAGGGCCACTAGAATAACTCCCAAGCTAAGGCAGAGATCCGCAATGCTAAAAGCAGTGTGCGATGAATATCCATTAGACAGACTGATGCAAAATTTGACTTTTTCGCTCCACAGTACTTAAATGGTTTCAAATCGGATCCTGATAAGCCTCCCAAAGTTACAACTCATTTGGTTAGAAACAGACTTCGCACAAGCCATTTGAAGTTTACATGTAAATTACTATGGGAAATCTCAACTTTTTGTTCATTACCATCTCGTCTTTTTCCATATTAAACTGTGAAACAAATCGATACCCATTCTTATAGAAAATTTTTTCAGCTACAACCTTGCTGAAGATCGTTTCGATGTAAAACGAGACAGGAAAAAGTTATTAATTATTTAAGAGATTGGTAAACTTATGACATGATCAAGCAGCTGCTCTGTAGGCAACTCTGTATTTTGCAGTGTGACATAGTAGTCATGATTTTTGTGTCCTATTCAACGCCCAGAAACACCAATTTTGCCTGCTGAGCAGTTGATTGAGCCTGATCATAAGACATCAGCGCATTGAACCATTGAAAACTTTCGATTATTTCATTTAATCACAAAGTGGTCTTCAGCAAAGTTGTACAAGTACAATTGGAAGTTTTTGAAGCAGACCGATATGGTGAATTATTAGATAGACATGAACAAAAATCTTGGTTTTACCATAGTAATTCCCATACAAACTTCAAATGGTTTGTGCCATCTCAGTTTCCCACCAAATGGGGTCAAATTTTGAGAGGTTAGTCAGGATCCGATTTGGAATCGTTTAAGTATTGTGGAGCGAAAATTTCAAATTTTACATCACTCTAACATCCATCCACTAAATATATCACCGGTAATTCCACGGAATGCTTCACGAGAAATGGATGGAATATATTTCGAATGTTCAACTCAAAATTCTCTACGTCCATCCATCATTTGTTGCTTCTTCCTACTCTCCAGTCAGGCTTGAAGGTACGCAGAATTTCTGAACGAATCCTCTTCTGCGGCAGAATGATGTCAGGTTGAACTACGGATCCGTCAGCGCCGAATGTAAAAGTACGGTAATATTTTGGTAAGCGTTAGCATATGTTCCACTTCATATGCGCTCCTGTTTCCCCGCGATGCCAGAACAGCTTTTGTTGTGGGGTGCTAGAAAAAGGACGTCTCGTCCCCATTGAAAATTCATCTTGGGTCATTTAGGATAAGCAAAAGGTTATTTTCTTTGAAGTAATCTGTGATTCTGCTAAACCAGCCACGGATATCTCCTTCAGACACCTTTGCGCTGGCAGACGATATTTTCTCAGGTGTTATGAGCTTGATTAACGGATGCCGTTTCAAAAACATTTTGAACCACTTCAGGGCAATGAAAACATTAAATAGGGATTAATTATACTATAAAATTATAACAACTTCAATCAAATTTACCAGGAGCATTGTGTTTGAATGGATTTGGTCTTTGGTCTTCGTCGAGGAATCTCTTGATCCTTAAAAACACAGCCTCTTTCACGATAGGAAATCCTTTACGTTCCAGTTCCTTTATCCATGAAATCAATTTTCCTTCTTCATCCGTCGAGAGCACAGTTGGGGGACCACTTTTCAGTTTCTTTGACCACTTTTCACTCAAGCAAAAATTAATCGAAGACTCCGGAACACCGTACAATTAAGATGCCTTGTAAACGGATTTTCCGCCAGCTTTCACCGATTCGATGCATGTTTGCATCGTTTCTTCACTGTAATTAGTTTTGTTCCGAGGTATTCTCACTATATTGTCAGAATCCATTCCGATTGGCATCTTACTTTCACTGTTTTGTAAATGAAAATATGACAGATCGGGTTCAACTATGTAAACATACAAGATTAACACAATTGAAGGGAGTAGAAAACTACACGGTAAGAAAAAAGTACCCAAAATTGATTTCCTTTCACTCATCACGTGGCTTTCGTGGGGCTAGGTAAAATTAAGTTAAAGAAGAAAACTCAATTTTGAGTAATCCTGATCATGAATCCACGTTGACCAAGTTGACAAAAAAAACATAAAGGAGCAGACTGGAACCGAACCATGGACGTTGAGATTACCGGGCCCGTGTGTTGACCACTCGTCTATCAACGCTTGTGAAAATCAAATGGTTAAAAGCGCATAAGAGCAACCTCAATGAAAATAAACTTATATTTGAGTTCATTTATTATTTCTCAATAGTTGAGTAAATTTTAACCAAAACCTTTTTCTGATTCACTCAACGGCGGACCTCACATGATAGAACCCAACGTTGAGTTTTTTTTTAAACTTAATGTTGAGTATTTTTTTCTTACCGTGTAGTATTTCAATGTATTAGTGAAATGACGTCATAATACAGGTACAATTTAGGAAAATTTCATATTTTAGGATGGATAAATTTCTTATATCTAGTGAAGTATAGATTTTCAAACAAGATGAACACATGCCGCCGTAATAGGCAAAATGTTATGTCTGTGAGCCTATTGTTGCGGTATAGAATTTACTGAAGAAATCAATAATTTAATTCAAAAAATCATTTGAAAACAAAATAGCACCTTATTATATTTTTTGAGCTTTTATATACCAAATCTCATGATTGGCTATTTTCTTTCTCAAAGTAACGAATCAGTAAAAAAAAATGGAGACGCACAATGGCTCTTTATGGAAAAGTGTTCATTAGGAGACTAAATTCATCAAATTTCAAAGTTATTCATCGAACAATGCTTTTAATTGAAATGAACTTTCATTCGCATCAATGTTCACCTCCAGGGTACCGAGAATTTTCGGAAAAAATCGATATGTAATCACATACCGCAATAATAGGGACTACCACAACAATTGGTCGTTTTCCCCTACTTACGACAATCCTTTTTCGTATAAATTTATTTTTCTAATCCACTTTTATTTTAAAATAACTGAATGAACTAAATCTGTTAACAACTCCTCATACTTCCAAATTTGTTAATAGAAGTGTTGACAGTACTATTCTTCGAACACAAACCAAAGATTGTTAAGTGCCACTAACCATTATTTCCTGCTTGAATTGAAATAATTTCGCAAAAGCTATGCAGAATACAATTCACCCCACACTTCTCATATACAGACACCGTTGAATAGATCTTTTGAGATCCGATTCGGTCTGATTTGTTTTATGCCATCCAGAAAAACTATCCATCCGTAGACCGTGCTTCCCTCTTCCGAAAAAGTCAAGTGTCAACGGACCCCCACTGGAATCAGCTGCAGGGTCAATTGGCTGAGGCTGTGGCAAAGGACTCATAAACCGCCTCCAGGGTATAACTCTTCGTTGTTTTTACGGCGACAGTCGTCGAGACCTATAGTCCATTCACCACCATCGTACAGATTTCCTGTGTCAACCAATCTGCACAAATTACCAATATACCGTGACAATGCACGCTGGATCCGGGTTTGAGTAAGGGTCGCCGCAGCGGACGAGAATCACCATTCGATGGTCAAATCCAAAATTATCTTTTGCACACCATATAAATAGTGCGGTGAATGGCGGTGAGTCGCGCGTGACCCAATCTAGTGGGCTGCAAAGTGACCCAACTGTGATGTTGTCTTGTGATGTTGTTTGACTGCCATGCGCAGCAGGCTGAGATGGTCGAGGTTTGCCGAAATTAAAAACAACCAAATTAACGGAAAAAAACACGAGCACTTTCAATAAAATCGGGTGACCGCTCGTAATAAATGATACCTTTTCCCGGTCAGGGACGTGTCGGTGGTCGTTGGTGCACGGCGAATCGCAGCAGGCCCGTGTGACGACGCCACACTAGGCAAGGTAATCAACCAAGGTGAACTTGGATAAGGGTTAACCCTTTTCGGCCCTTAACGATGGCGGTGAAAGGGATCTTGGATCTAGTGATGTTCGAAACGGTTCTGCGAATGAAGGTTGTAATCAAGCTCATTTTTCGAGATGATAAGCAAATTTCGATTATGATTGCGCTGAAAAACACTTGATGATAATTGTTTTCCTGATTGTTATTCGAACAATCGCAATTTGATTTCCTAGAAACGCTTGTACTGATTGAAAAGCAAGACAATCTCGACCAGAACAATCCATTGGTAATTACGAAACTGTCTGATGATGCGTGATTTGAACCAGCAACAAATTCGCTTCCTAGAGTGGTTAGGTAACATGGAATACCTTCGAGGCAAATTATGGCAGCAGAAAAAAGGGTCATCCTCACTCGTGACGCACTTTGGTGAAGTGGTTGAATGATTCGGTTTCAAGAAAATTTGCATAACTTCGTTATTGATCTCACTGTTCGATAATTGGGTGGATGATCTTTGCCCTGTCTGCCAACGAATCAAACTGCGGATGTTAACGAAACCGTTTGCTTGAACCAATTAATTCATCAGCCTTGATCGACATTCCTCGACCAATAATCCTTTCGCCTAACGCACTTCTAAAGATTCATATCTCCCACCGATTTCTATTGCCTTAACATCTACCATGCACAAACCAACCAACCATCACATCCATTTTCACACCAATTAAGGTCAATCTTAGGCAAACGATGGACGAGTGATGGATAATGGTGCGGACACAAATCGATCGGATCAAAAAAAAAATCCAGCCTAGCGAAGATCACCGACAACGGAACGGAAGAAAAAAAAATCGAATCAACTCAACTAGACCAATTTGCATCGGTATGTACAAGTGCAACCACCATGTAGCACTATTTACCAGATTTATACACCACTGAAACTGAGCTGTGGTATGACTAGAAAAAAAAAGTCTCAATAGGCAGATTTGGGCACAAGCTCAGTGAGGTAACAGGTTGAAATTTGCAAACAGGAACTATGGTTGTGAAGAGCAACTCCATTCTACCACGCCTCGGTGTTTTCGAATGGAGAAAATGCAGAAGCACTTGAGAGCAACCCCCTGTCGTTCGGAAATGCTCGGATAGTATCCTGCTGAGTTGAGTTGAAGGTGATTTCATTTGAACGT